CTTAATTCATTGAGAAAGGTTTGGGCTAATATTGTTTGAATAATTAAATGCCTATATCTTGTACTCTGAGTAATTTATAAATAACAGTATGCAATGGATTAGCCATTGTTCTACTATTATCTTGTTTTAAAATTTTGTGTTCTCTTTAAAATAAAATTTTACGAAAGAAATGAGCACTTCTCACCTGGCCTAGGTGAGGCTGACACTGCAGGAGCACAGTGGAAGAGCTCTGTCTATGCACAGCACTTCCCTGTACCTCTTTTACCTCATCTGGTGGGGCTCATGGGGCTAAAAGCCCCTCCAGGATAGAAGAGTGGCCTCCTCTCTGTCACTGCCCATACCTGACATTTAGTATCCAGGATCTGCTCAGAGGCCATCCTCTGTCACCTGCCCAGCTGAATCAGGGGCATTTGCGCCTGGGCTTTCCTGACTGCTGCTCTGACTCATCCACACTGCTGCTTAGCAGTCCTGGATGAAGACAGGCTCAGCATGCAAGTGGCTGATGAGACACATTAGGATCTATACTCGGCACAGATATGCAGAGGGGGATTCGACCACCATGTCATCTTAGTGGAAACCTCAGCTACCACAGTGGTGTGGCCTGCTGTAGCTGGGACGGCGCCACAGAGCTGTTCTGAGGAGGAGCATGGGTGCAGCATCTTTATGCCCAGCGTGCACCGGACCTTGGATATAGGCCACCCTAGGACAGACTAAGACTGAGCAGAGATGCTCTCTACACCTGAAGCCACGCCCTGTCCCCCACAGAGTGCCAGCTGAGTGTGTCCACCTGCTCCACCAAAGGGATGAGGATAATGATGACAGTGCTGATGGTGGATGCATTAGTTTGCTGAGGCTGCTGTTTCAAGGTGCACAGACTAGGCAGTTTAAACAACGAATTTATTCTCTCACATTTCAGAGGCTGAACGTCTAAGATCAGGATCAACCAGATAGGGTTGGTTCCTTCTCATACCAGTAAGAAACTGATTTGCTCTCACCTGTCTTCTTGGCCTGCGAATGGCTGTCTTCCTGTGTTTTCACAGGCTTTTCTCTGTACATGTGGCTGAGGCTAAATTTCTTCATCTTAATCATATTGGGTTAGGGCCCATCCTAATGACTTCATTTTAACTCAATAATTTCTGTGAAAATGTGATTTCCAAATACTGTCATATTCTCAGTTACACGGTATTAAGGCTTCAGCATGTGAATTTTGAAGAGGGGAGACAACTGAGCCCCTCCCATGAGGAGAGGGGACAGATCGTAGGATCTTATTCCCAAAGGTGGAAGAGGAGTGGTAGGGAAAGGAATAGGTGATGAAGATATCCACAAAAGTAGGGGTTGTATAGCTGGGTTTTTGAAGCTAGAGGGGTACACTGAGACCATGGGGGCCAGTGTCAGCCTGAAGGCACCTACTAGTTGGTAACAGAGACTAATTAGCAAGGCTGACTCCTGTCCTCCTCTCTGAGCACCAGGAGAAATCCGGGGATGAGCCGTGAGTGTGGAGAAAGCTCATAGCCTCCTTTGTGGACATGGAACAGATGGGGCCTGGTATTCTCTGTCCATAGGGAGGACACACAGCCAGCAAGTTCTTGCGTCAGAGCTGCAGAGGGTGATGGGCAGATGGCTGCTTCAATGGAGCAGGAAGACATTGTTAAGACATCAGCCTTTCTGAGAATGCACCGTTCACCAGGAAGGGCTGAGACCCTCATTTTAGCCTGTGTTGGGGGGATGCTGTCAGCCACATTAGCACGCACCATGAGAGCCACATTAGCGCACACCCTGAGATCTGGGCCATGGTGCAGAGCGCACCAGCCTGGCAAAGCGTCACATTCTTGTGCAGACTGGCCCTCCAGCTGTTTCATGAGCAAAGCTTTATTGGAACTCAGACATGGCTGTTCATTTACATATTGCCTTTGTTTGTTTTTACAGTCATACAAGGGCTGTGATGAGTATTTGACAGAGCACATCTTTTTTTTTTTTTTTCTTTGCACCAAGAGTTGAACTCTAGACCTGTGCTTACCAGGCAGGTGCTCTCTCCCTGGTCCTACTTTTTATATCTTTACAGAAAAGTGGCTAGCCCTTCTCTAATTTAGGAGTTCTAGGCCCTGGAACTTGTGGTGAGCTGCCCCTGGCTCAGAGGCTAATTTCTCTTCTCTCAGGGAGCGATTATTTTCCTGAAACTGCTGTGATGACCTAGTGAGGCAAGGCAAGCAAAAGAGTCTTGTGGACCGCAGCACACAGTTGGCCTAGACAGCCGCAGAAGATTGGCTCCTGGAGCCCTGGCAGGCACCCAAGTCCGTCAGTGCTCGAGTCCTTCCTATGCAGTGGTGCACGTTTGCATATAAGCTGCACACATCCCCCAGGATGTTTTCAGATTCTCTCTAGATTGCTTATCATACCTAATTTTCTGTGTAAATAGGTGTTATACTGTATTTTTAAGAGAATAATGACAAGATGAAGTCTGTGTTCAGTAAGAATGATTTTTTTCAAATGTTTTTAGTGTACAGTTGTTTGGGTCCACAGCTGTGGATTCCACAGATAGGGAGGGCCAACTGTGTTGCTTTCTGCATTCAGCCTTCTTGTAATCTTCTCCTCCTAATCTAAACAAAGCCCTGTTCTTCTCCCAGCTTCTTCAGACTGCCCTTGGTGGTGGCATCTCCCCTGCCAGGTTCACTGTGGTTTCTGCTTGATTTTTACCTGCATAATGGTGTCTGATGAGCAAGGAGGTGGGATGAAGTAGCCAGCCAGCTAGGATTTGTTCCAGGGCTGCCGTGGTGTCCGCAGTTGTCATCGTTCAAATGCTATTTCCTGTGCACGTGCTGTGTCCCAGGCACTGTGCTGAATGCTTCATCTGTATCGCGCCCCCCCCCTTAAACCTCACCATGGGACACAGGCATTCAGCAGGTAGTTAGGAGTACCAATACTGTGCCAGCCACCCTTCTAGGTCATGAAAATACATAGAGCACTGAGTAACAGAATTGCTGACCTCATAGAACCCACTAAACTGGAGTCAGGGGATAAAGTAAATAGGCTAAAATACAGTGAGGTAGAAATCAAAAGGACTGTGGAGAGAAATAAAGCAGAAAAAGCATGTACTATCAGGTGAGGAGGGAATGAGGAATGCAGTTTTAAACAGGGCGAGCTGTGTAGGTTTCTGGAGGCAGAGTGTTCCAGGTAAAAGGAACAGTAAGTGCAGAGGACTGGAGAGGAGGATGCTGATGTGTGGGGGGCAATGACTGGCACCATGGGTTGTGCTTGTGAGGGCCTGGCGGCTGTAGTGACAACTTGGGCTGCTACTGTCAGGAAGATGAGAGCAGTGGGAGGATAGTAACAAAAGAGGAACACGATCCCATGCACCTTTATTTTATTCACTTATTCACAGTATATTAACAGAATTGTTGTAAAATGTATATAATACAGAAGTTGTCTTCTTAACCATTTGAATATATTTAGTTCAGTATTGTTAAATAACTTACATTATTGTGTAGCCAACATCCAGAACATTTTCACTTGGCAAAACTGATGCCATGTTCCCATTAAATAATAACGCCTCATTTTTTTGCTGCTAGACACTGGTACTCACCGTTCTACTTACTATCTCTGATTTTGGCCACTCTAGGTACTGCATATAAATGGAATCACACAACAGTTACCCTCATTGACTAGCTGATTTCACTGAGCATAATGTCCTCCAGTTTTGTCATGTAGCAGCATGTATTAGGATTATCCAAATGCTGCTGGCAAAGCCCAGTTTGAGTTTGCTGTATTGGGCAGTCTGGAGCTGTTCACAGGGTGGGTACTGACATGGTTGGATGGTGTTGGGCTGAGTGCCAGCCCTGAGAGTGCCTTGTTCTTCAGAGAGCATGGCCAAGTGTTCTCTGAGCTCTGTCTTCCTCTCCAAGAAGGAAGTGGAAGGAAGGGGAGAGGGCCAGTGGGGCCTGAGACAGCGCGGACGTACTGTGGCTGAATGGGCTATGGGAGAGCAGGCCAGTCATGCGCTGAGTGGCTGGGCAGGGGGAGTCCTTGCTCCCTTCACTTCACATCAGAACTCCATGAAGCAGAGCTGAGGTGGACATTTGAGACCATATCTTTTGGCTTCCTCAGTCTCAGGGTTAATAAGGATCAGAAAAGGGCTTTGCTTGAGTTCCACAGTGACTGAGCAGATGGAGTCTAGAAGCCAGAAAGACAGAAGGTGTCAGGGCCAGCAGAAGGTCACTTCTGTGAAGAGGGCCTTGACTCCCCTTTCACACCACATACCCTGAGCCTGACACACTTGGAGGCAGTCAGGAAATACTGTTGAATGAGCATGTGTGTGAAAAAAATAGCCTGGGTATCAGACCCAAGCTGGGATTGCCTCCCCTCGGGCTGGCTTTACCTCTACTGCACAAGTTGCTTCTCCTTGCTGAGCTTCCATTTCCCAAAACAGGTTTATAAGTTCATTTGGCAGGTGCCCCAGCAGGAATTTAAACCCAGGTCTGCCCAGTTCCTTGGATGATTTTCTATACAATGCTGTCCTGATTCCTTTACTGATTCACTTGCTTATTGAGCACCTACTGTGTGCTAGACTCAGTCCTGGGCTCTGTAGATACGGCAATAAAGGAGGTGGGTTTGTGCCCTCAGGACTTATATTCTAGGAAGATGCAGACATAAAGCAGTGAAGAGATAACAGCAATGGTGGGATTACTCAGAAAGGACTGGAATGGGGACAGGATAGGACTGCCTTAGTTGCTGTCATCAAGGAAGGACATTTTGATGGCGATTGAGAAGCAGCAGCCATACATATGCCATATGTAGTCACTGTATGCAAAGAGCCTGAACAAACAATTATGAAGGGACACATGTAAATAGATAAGCTTCAGATATGCTGATGACAAAGTGATGAAGCTGTAGAAGGAAATCAGCTGTCAAAGTGCACTAAACAGCCTGAAAAGGCTCTGAGGGCAGCACAGTAAGTCTGCACCCTGGTCACACTGGCTCACCTCACCACTGGCTTTGCCTTCTAGGTAAAGCAGATCATGGAAGAGGCTGTCACACGCAAGTTTGTCCATGAGGACAGTAGCCACATCATCTCCTTCTGTGGTGAGTCTGTGGTCCACCCAGGCCTGCTTCCCTTTCCGGAGCTGCCTCGGGGAGGGTGCATCTCTGAAGCAGAGCTCTCATACACTGCTTTTGCACTGTGACTTGAAGTTATTTTTGGGTCCCAAAGGAATTGTATTGGGGAAATTCAAAGTAAAACTAGCACAAGACACATGAATGATGAGTTGGACTGCCATGAAGAATCACCACGGAGCATCACCTTGCCCTCCTCAAGGGCTCAGCTCATGCTACCCACACCCTGAGCACTGGGCGGTCCTGCCTCTGGGAAATGACCTCCATGGCTTTTTCTTCTTCTGCCGCCAATGAGCGCTAGATAAAGGGAGAGATGCAGAGATATTTAGTGAGAGGGGGAAGAGAACCCTGACACATCCTGAGGGACTGCAGCAGCTGGCTCAGCACAGGCAACAGCGGGGGCTCAGAGCGTGACTCACTGCTCTCTGTACAGCTCTGTCGTGAGACCCAGAGATACCCACAGTGCCAGGTCCCGCTGTACGTTGAAGGCAGCTAGAGATGCGTTTTGCATGTACCTGAAGTCCACACTGAGCTTAGTCTCTGTGTATATATACATGGGAGTGTTCTTTCCTGATCCTTGTAATGCCTTTTTTAATACTTGGAGTGTCTGACGGTGAAGAGCGTGCTCTAATTCCCCTTCTGTGGCTTTGGCCCCATGGAAAGGCCTGAGCAAGGACACCTGGCCAGCCACCAGCTTCTATGCAGATGACGAGGTTCTACCACCTGGCATCTAAATGCTGAGCACACTGAATTGGGGGCCAGAATTTCAGTTCACCCATTTTTTCAGCCAGGCAGACTTGGGTTCAAATGCCCAGTTCTACCACTTACTACTGACCATGAGCAAAATCTTAATTTTTAGATGGAATATGTTTTTCAACACAAATAGAAAGTGTAATGTAAAAGTATATATGTATATATATCTATAAAAGTATATATGTATGTGGAATATATGTTTTATATCCATATGTCTATGTATATATACACACATATTTTTACAAATACATTTTATTATATTTACATGACTTTTTATTTTCTCCTGGACATTTTCTTTATAAATCAACTTACTAATGTATCTATCAACTAAAGTCTTTCTTTCCTTTTTCTTTTTCTTTTTTTATTTCTTTTTCTTTCTGTCTTTTTTTTTAAGGCAGGGTCTCACTATGTAGTTCAGGCTGGCTCTGAACTCACTTATATAGCCCAAGCTGGTCTCCAACTCACAGCAATCCTCCTGCCTTGGCCTTCTAGGTGCTAGGATTACAGGCAAGCACCAATATGCCCAGCCCAACAAAGAATAATAAGAATTGTAATAGTTCCCTAACTCAGATCCAAGCTTTTGGGTGGGAGAAATTGGATGGCAGTAAATCCCACTGATTCTTTTTTGGATCCATTGTTCCTAGGGCCATTGTGCAGAAGAATTGGACAATGTGTACAAAACTTGAAGAGATGATTAAAAAACTAAAAAGTGCTGTGTATATAAAGCCATGTGCACTCATAAATCCAGCCTCTTGAGAGCCTAAAGCAGGAGGATGGCAAGTTGGACCCCAGCTTAGTCAACTAGACTCTGCTCAGAATGAAAAATAAAAAAGAGCTGGGAACGTAGCTCCGTGTGAAGGTGCTGGGTTCATTCCCTAACATCATCACCACCCAAAAAGAAGGAAAAAAAAAAACTTTTTAAGAGAACCTCACCAATCTTTTAAGTGTATGGGCAGATTAATCAATTTTTAGGCATTCATTCAAAACCGAATGATGGTGTACTCAAAAATAGACGATTAACCCAAAACCTCTCGCAGTTTCTCCTCACACATCACCCAGGCCAGCCTCTCACCCTGGGGGTAGCTCACTTGTTCTGTGAGTGGTGATAGGTAGAGCTCTTACATCATGCATTTATAGCAAGAGTTAGGTGAAGCAAATCTTAACACTGACCTGACACACAGCAGGTACCAAAATAAGGAATAGCTCTTATAATGTACTCACTTTTTGAATAAATACGGAATATGTGCCTATTGCGTGCCACAGTGAGACAGAAGGTAAGAAGTCCGAGGCCCCCAGAAGTACCAGGACTAAGATGGGGGCCTTGGTGTTTGAACAAGGCCAGTTTCCCAGAAGGGCTCACTGAAGCCTGGAGAGGGAAAGTGGCTCACCTGAGGTCACTCAGCAAATTAATGCGAGCGCCCCGGCCTACACCCTGGTGTGTGCTCTGGCAGGGCTCCGAAGGGCAAGACAGAAATGAGGTGATGAGGAAATCCTTCCCAGGCCCTTTGTGGAAACACAAGTATTACATGTGGCACATCTGGAACTCAGGCCTTGTTGAAGGCTCTATCACTTACTTGCTGGGTAGCCTGGAGCAATTCAGCTTGCCTCTCTGAGCCCCAGTGCCCACCTCGGGGAAGTAGGGGTATTTTCCTTACTTGCTGGCCATGGCAGAGATTAAATGAGATCCATAAATGTTAGCCATGCTGTAATCACAGCTTTGATGACAATGGTGATGCGATTCCTTAACCTGGTGAGCCAGCATCCAGCATCCCAGTCACCTCTCCCTGCTTGACAGAAACAGAGGAGATGTTCAGCAATAACCACTGCGTGCCAGGCTCTGCCTCATACTTTGTGTTTATTTTCCCCTGTCTTACCAGCAACCTTATGAGGTTAACGTGTATACTGTCCCCACTTTACAGATGAGAATACTGAAGCCCAGAGAGGCAAAGTCATTACCCACAGTGACACCTGGTTAGTAGCTGGCCGAGGATATGAACAGAGATGGTCCACATTTGGGCCACAGCCATGGGCTAACCATTGTGCCTTCTTTGAAGAGTGTTGCAGGTGTAGGGGAGCATGTTTTTCAGGGATTCTCACCTGAACTTAGTGATTCGGAGAGTCCTGGCTGGCCAGGGTACCTCTGATGGAAGCTCTGAGCCACCTAGGTGCTGGGGAGTGTGGCCAGGTCAAGGCCTGCTGACCCCCGTGTTCCCACAGCGGCAGTGGAAGCCTGTGTCCTGCATGGGCTGCGTCGGCGGGCAGCTGGCTTTCTGCGCAGCAACAAGATTGCAGCTCTCTTCATGAAGGTGGGAAAGAGCTTCCCGCCAGCAGAGGAACTGAGCCGCAAGGTCCAGGACCTGGAGCAGCTGATTGAGAATGCGTGAGTATCAAGTGTTGGTGCAAGCTGGGACAGTCCTCAGAGGATGGTCTACACCCTCCCTCAGCCCTATGAGGGCCCACACCTCTTGGGCCGCCTTTGTTTTCCTTTCTGCTCCTCAGAGCTGCCTGGCTTTTTTCCACGCCGCAGTTTTTGCACACTTGGTACCTTCGTATTAGCATTCCCCTGCCAATGCCTGACATAAACTACCTACATGAGAAAAGATTGATCTGGACCCATAGTTTCAGAGGTTTCAGTCCATGGTCTCCTAGCCCCAAAATAGAAACATCATGGTGGAAGGGTGTGGCGGAGGACGGGACCGAGACCAAGGAAGATCCTGAAGAAAGATGCGCCCTTCAGAGCCATGCCCCCTGCGGCCTGCCTCCTCCTACCAGTGCCTCCCTCCTAATAGCACATTCAGCCATGAACTCACCTGTATGTCGGAGTGTGTGCTCATGACCCAATCATCTCTCCAGACATTTCTTAGTCCAGTTGAGTTGACAGTTAAGGTTGACTGTCAGCCCCACACCAGGCTCATTGCCTGTGTTTCCAGGCCTGGTTCCCTGGCTCGTTCACACCTTCCTAGTCTGTAGATTCTACCCCACATACCATCTTCTCTCTTGTATCACCATTTATTCTCTTCCCACTTGTTGCCACCTATAGTTAGCCATTCCTGCATTTGTTTACTACTGACTTGGCTGTAATCAGGCTCCCTGAGCGCCATGCAAATAGTCAGGTCACCTGTGCCATTTTCCATTGGGTACCAAGCATGTGGGCCAGTGTACAGCACCTGACCCATGCCTGTGAAATGGCTGTTGAGTGAATAGGTACTGAGTGGGAGCCACACCCCTTCCAAACATAAGCTGACTGACATTTAACAGAACCTATGTGGTCTCTGTACAGACCGGATGCTGGGGCCTTTGGTTAAAACTCACATTGAAGCAGCCATTGAAGAGGAAGGCAGCTTTACTTGCTTGTGTTTGTGGCTGCTTATATGTGTTGGGGGAGGCTTGGGACTGAGTGTGGTACCTAAATATCTATTGCCGTACCCTCCCGCTGCGGTCCCAGATGCATAGCCAGGCACCCAAAAGGAGCCTAGCCAGCGATGGCAGGTAGGGCAGAGCTCCTCCTGGTGCCTGGGGACAGGGCCGTGACAGCTTCTGAAGCTATAGCTGAGCATTGTGGGAGGAATGCATGGATCAGCTGGCCACGTCCGCCACAGGCACAGCCAAGGAGGAAACAAGCACATCATGTGTTTCCCAGCTTTCCCTTGCCATCCATTATAAAATTCCTGAGATGGCCACATTATGAAGAGGAGAACTTTATTCTGACTCACAACGTTAGAGGCGTTAGCCCACATCTGCTCGGCCCCTTTGCTTCTGCACCTGCGGAGGGGCAGCACAGTGAGACTGGAAGGGAAGTGCACAGCAGAGCAAGCTGCTTGCCTCCCCACTGCTGGGGCAGGAGCTGGGGAGGGGGAGGTGGTCCCAGAGTCCCCCTTGAGGGCATGCGCCCAGTAGCCTGCTGTCTCCTCTAGGCCTGCTTCTTAAAGGTTCCCCCACCTTCCCAACAGCACCAAGCTGGAGTCAGGCCCCACCCTGTGGTCCTTCGGAGGACGTTGCAGATCCAAACTGCAGCATGCTAAGTTTGCCATCTCAGCCAAGGTGACCGCACCACAAAGTGAAGCCCACCTCCCCTTCTCTTTCTTACACTTTGGTCCCTGCCTGCCAAGGGATGCTGGCCAGAATGCTCTACAGACAGAGCTCAGGATGTGGCTCTGCCAGCTCCCTTTGGCATGACTTTCCAGCCAGGCAGTCTTTGGTTTCCCTCCAGCCTATCTAGTTATTCTCAGATAACTTCTTAAAGGGCTGGATCTCCAGGGCCTTCTGCAGTGTGGGTGTGACTTCCCAATGGAAAGATGAAAGGCATCCCTGCCAGGGGTGAGGGAAAACCACGCATTCATCTCTGCAGTCACCATGTATGAATGTATTTGATGAGCAGCTCGTGTGTGCCAGGACTGTGCTAGGCCCTGCCCTGGAGAAATAGACATGATGGTTCCCATACTTGCCATTGGATAGATATATTGTAGTTTTAAAACACTTAAATTGTTTTTGCACATGCTCAAAATCATGGAGTAAAGGGAGAAATGAGCAGGCTGAAGGAGTATCTCAGCTTTGGTTGGGTCCAGAGAGCTTCCTCTAGGATGAGATGCTCTGTCTGAGGCTCAAAGACTGAGAGGGTCATTCCAGGAATAGGATCAGGAGGAAACTGGTAAGAAGCAGCAGCCAATGGAGAACCTGGCAGCTGCAAGCATCTGCACAAAGCTGTCTGGCTGGAGCACTCACAGAGAGTGACTGAGGGCAAGGTTATGAGCATCCTGCGGACCATGGTGAAGCCCGCGCTTTCCAGGGCTGGTAATGGGGAGTCTTGCGAGGCTCCATAGCCCTGCACTTCCTGGTCAGCAGGAAAAGAAAGAGAAGGAGAAAAAGAAAAGATGGAGAGAGAAGATAAGAGAAGGGAGAGACTTACAGGAAGAAGAGAGGGCAGTAGGGTGGGGGAAGGAAGGAAGAGAGAGATTGGTCAGATCTGGCTGGCCTGTCAGAGGTGTGTGGAAGGATGTTTAGCTACATCTTCCCTCTCACTGGGCATTGCTGTCTTTCCAACTTTGTGTGTGTGTGTGTGTGTGTGTGTGTGTGTGCACGCGCGTGCACCAGGAATTGAACACGGGGCCTCGCACTTGCCAGGTAGGCTCTGCTCTGTTACATCCGGAGCCGTACTGTCTTTCCAGCTCTTGACCCACTTTCTAGGAACAATGTGTGTTCTTATTGTTTAGCTGCCACTCCTCCATTTCCTTAAGACGGTGAACATTTTCCCACTTGCATATCCAGTCCTGTGGATTTCCTTCTTTGTGAATGTTTACCTACCTTCTCTTATTGATCTTGAAGGAGAAACCAGATCCAGGGCCTCCAGGAGAATGTGCGGAAGCTCCCGAAGCTGCCCAACCTGTCCCCGCTCGCCATCAAGCACCTGTGGATCCGCACAGCCTTGTTTGAGAAGGTCCTGGACAAAATTGTGCATTACCTGGTGGAGAACAGCAGGTGAGAGGGGGAGCTGTACACCTGGTGCTCTCTGCCTCCCCCTACTGGCAGAATTGCACCCTCTTGCACATAGCCACTTGTTCTCCTGGACAGCTGGTTAGATTTAAAAGTGATTGTAGAGAAGCCTCCTGGATGTTTGACTCTGAACTAGGCTAGCTCAGAAATCTGGGGAGAGTTCAGTAGTGCACAGCATTCAGAGTTAGGCTTGGGTGGAGGGATCTTGGATTTCTTCCTTCTACTGTGGATTGTCCCACTTGATAACCATGTGGCCCTAGGAGATCTACTTAGCCTCTTGCTCCTTGTCTCTTTTGGTAAATGGCATGGATGTCACTGATGCTTCTGACAAGTGAGAAGGGAATTCAGTATATACTGTTTTGAAAATTCAGTGATACGGGGCTGGTGACATGGCTCAGTGGTCTAAAGCACCTACTTAGAACAAGCTTAGCAAATCACAGCGGCCGTGGTTCAATCCCCCGGCACCACATGCCAGCCAGCCCCGCCCCCTGGTGGGCTGAGCTGGCCACACACACACACACACACACACAAAAAAAAAAAATTTAAAAAGAAAAAAGAAAATTCAGTGATACTTTCTACATTTTCTCTCTTAGTTCAGATTGGTCAGATATAAAGGTTTTATAGTGCACATTTCTTGGCCAGTATCCATCCATTCACCTGATAAATATTTAGTGAGCACCTACTGTGTGCCAGGGACTAACAGAGGAATAATTCCTCTTAATAATTCCTCTTAATAAAGAGGAATAATTGCTGCTATTTCAAAAGCGGCAGAAGCCACCAACTAACCTACACTGTAACATGAGAGCCTGTGTGGCCAGCGTGCCTCTGTAGCCAGAGAGAGAAAAATTTGAAGGAACTGGTGCTGTGCAGCTCAGTGGTAAAAGGTTTTACAGTTTCTGGGTTCAACGCCCAGCCCAAAGAAAACAAGGAGGAAAAAGTCAAAAGAAATGTGCATTTCAGGGGGCTGGGGAGATGGCTCAGTGGAATAAGTGCCTCCCTGGCAAGCGCAAGGGCCTGAGTTCAATCCCCAGTTCCACCAAAAAAAAAAAAAAAAAAAAAAAAATTTCCCCATCTTTCATTGTATGAAAGTACTTTTTTAATCACCTGTTCATGAAAGTAAGTTCTACTATTATTAATTTTTTGCCCCTTCAGTGAGAAAATTTATATAGTATATGTTAGATGTTCCAAGGGGATGTGGTGGTAGCTTTTGCTGTTTTGTTTTTTCACTACTGGGGTTTGGGCCCAGCACTTTCATAGTAAGCTATAACTCCAGCTCTTTGATTATAATTCTTTTGTCATTTATGTATTTGGTACAGCGTCTCACTACACAATTCAGACTCGTAGCGATCCTCCTGTTTTCAGCCTCCTCAGTGTTGGGATTACAGGCGTGTGCCATCACACCTGGACTTGGTTTCTGGCTCAGTGTGTCCTGGGGTGGGGTGGGGCCAGTGCAGCATTCAGGACCAGGGATCAAACCCTGGTCCCTGCACTTGTGAAAACAGACACTTAGTCCGCTGAGCTATCTCGCTGGCCCAACTCCAGCTCTTGTAAACAAGTTTTGAGGCAGGATCTCAACGAAATTGCCAAGCTAGGCATAAACTTGTGATCCTTCCACCTCAGCCTCCCGGAGTGGTGGGACTCCAGGTCTGCACCACCCCACCTGGCCTGTGTAGATGCTTAATCCCCTGTATGGCCAGAGAAAGCCTCCTGGAAGAAGCAGTATTCCAAGGGCCTGATGCAGGGCAGGGCAGGGCTAGGGTGGAAAAAGCATGCTCCCATCAGGAGCAACAGCCAACTCAAAGGCCTGCAGAGGAGCAAGCTGAAAGAAACCCAAACTCTGAATCTCCACTTAACTTCTTTTCCTTCTAGTAAGTTGTAATGCGCCTGTGTCCTGAATGGTCCTGGGCTGCTTTAGTCATTGCCTTTGAGCTGTGACCCTGTGTTGCCCTGCAGAATAAGACAGTTAATTCCAAAGGAATTAGGAATTTATTAAAGCATCAGTGCCAGCCTGCTATTTTTTTTATTAAATTTTGAATTTTAGATTTCTGTAACAATAGCAAAATTAGTACAGAATGTACTGGTTGGCTAACCCCAGTAATTGCATCCTATTTAACAGTAGTACAGTTGTCAAAATGAGGACATGGACTGGTATGCTACTATTGACAGCCTTTATTTTCAGTTCACTACTTTGTAAACTTTTTGTTTGGTTGGTTGGTTGGCATATAATTCAATGAGATTTTAACTTGCAAGATAATTTTGTATGCCCAGCATCATAAATAGGGTACAGAATTGTTCCAGAGAAGCTCCAAAGAAACTCCTTGGCTTGCTTTTAACAGTCATCTCTTTTCCCAGCCCTGCCTGCTATTTTTTGTGGCAGCATTTCCAAGGCTTATGATCACGATGCTGATTTTTGGAATGGAACTCAAGTGGCCCCAAAGTGTCTCAAGCATTATGTTCAGATTTGACCTCCAAATGTAGAACTTTGATACTGAGCAAGTCCAAGGCAGATCAGCTCTGCTGCATCCAGTATTCTGGCTGATAGAGGATTTCTTTGGAGTAAGATTACAGTGACGTTGGTACCATTCAGTGAGGACTCCTAGTGTTGGACCCTGTGCTCTACATGCAGCTCATTGTTCAGTCTTTTCAACAACCACGCAGATGGATTTTGCCACTCTTATTTTATAGCTAAGGACATGGAATCTCAGGGAATTCACTTGCCTCGGGGCACACAGCAGTGTGGAGAGTAGCCGAGCTAGGCTCCTGCCCGGTCTGTCTGACTCTAGGTCCTGTGTCCTCCCCCTTGCTGTATGATAGTAAAAGTTGAGCTAGCTGGGCATAACCTGAGACCACATCTGCCTTCTGTGTGTACTCTAGTGAGTCACTTTACTTCTCTGGGCCTGAGATTGTGAGGAGATCAGAGAGGTCCTTTCCAACTTTGAAATTCTCTTAGTTTCCAGGTTGCACATATGTTTAAGGAATTAGAAAATATTACATTAAAGCTCATACATGGAATCATTCCATGGTGACATCACATAATGTTCTACAGAACCAGATTTAAGGCACCCTTTTGAGCATCTCAAGCCAGTGTTATCAGTTTTAGTTACCAGGCAGGACAGCCTATTAGCCCAGTGTTTGAGTACACATCACAGTTAAACAGCATTTTATTGCCTCAGGAATAGTAGAGCTGACTTCATCTGCACCGCTAAGTGACTTGCCTTCTCCAGCAGAAGTAAATTGAATCTGCTAGGCCTCATCAGCCTTTACTGCTATTCCTCTCAGAAAGGCTCCTACTCCTATTCCTCTCAGAAAGGCTCTCTCACGATCACGTTTTGACAGGTCCGCACCAAGCACACCCTAAATGCCTTTCTGCTGTGTAGCTCAGAAGTCCTCCCAAGCGCTGTACAGCACATTTTGTGCCTAGTGCAGCTGAGCCTCTGAGCATTCCTGGGTGACATGGAGGGAACGGACCTAGTCTTTCATGTCCTCTGGTGGTCTCCATCTAAACTTGTGTGTCCTTTGCTCTCTCACTAGTAAATACTATGAGAAGGAAGCACTCCTAATGGACCCTGTGGATGGCCCCATTCTCGCATCTCTCTTGGGTATGTGGTACAGTGCTCAGAGCTCCATCTGGACCTCTGGTCTCAGGTCTTGGTACCCTCCTGAGGGCCCCTCTCCTCCCGTTCTCACCCATCAGAACTTGCCTGTTCACTTTTCTCTTGCTCCCAGAACCTTCTTCAGGTCTCTTCCTTACAGGACACTAGGACATCCTAACTGACTAGAGGGGAGGGGTAATGGAATGGATGGTTCATCCCATAGTAGATAGGAGGGTGGACATTTGGGGGCTTCAGGTCTCCAGCCTGCTGTGCTCCACAGTGGGGCCCTGTGCCCTGGAGTACACCAAGATGAAGACGGCAGACCACTTCTGGACTGACCCCTCGGCTGACGAGCTGGTCCAGAGGCACCGCATCCACAGTTCACACCTGAGGCAGGACTCACCCACCAAGCGGCCAGCCCTCTGTGTGAGTGGAGTGGGTTGTGGGGCCATGGGAGGGATCTGAGGCAAGGTCTGAACATGGGCTGGGGAAAGGAACAGGGTAGGAGCCCTGAAGGTCACTCCAGGGCTGTCCTTCTGTCTCCTATCACACTACCAGATCCAGAAGAGGCATTCGAGTGGCAGCATGGATGACCGGCCATCCCTCTCTGCACGTGACTATGTGGAGTCCCTGCACCAGAATTCTCGAGCCACCCTACTCTATGGCAAGAACAATGTTCTGGTTCAGCCGGTGAGAGTTCACAGAGGGCCTGGATCTGCCTCTGAGGGTTTTGGCTCCATGTTATAGAGGAAGTTTCCTTCTGGCCCCAGGTGGCTCATCCCTTCATATACCCACCCACCCACCCATTTGTTCATCCATCTGCCAGTCCATCCACCCATCCATCCATCCA